AATTAATTCAAAATATGGAATATATATGAACAATTTATTAGGTACTTTCTTATAAAATGCCAATTAATTTAGAATGCATTCTGAATCCTTAAAAAATATAGGTTTTCAATTCTGGCAATAGTAATGGCTATGGTTATTTACAGGTATAATAATTTTTAGTTTAAAGTCTGCATGATTAAATTGCATAATTTATCTGACATACCACATTCTTACATTTTCATTTAGCTATAAGAAGAAAATATGGGAGGGTTTTTTTTAATGTTAGAATGAGGAAGATCATCCTAAGTATATCACCAACCCCAAGCCATAAAACAAAAAGTAATAAATTCAAATACACTTTTAAAAATACTGATCAGTAAATAAATGGCACAAACAAGGTCACAAAACGAAAGACATATAAAAAGAATCTAATAATGCTAAAAATAACCAACAGAAAAAGAAATACAAAAAGCTCTACACAAATGTAAAAGGGTCTCACCCTCACTGAGAAAACAGCAATTAAATCTACAACGGCATATTTTTCACCAAAATACTGACAAAGATTATCACACACTGAGTTGGCAATTATGTGGGAAAGTCTCCCTAGTATGTGTCACTTACGTATTTTCCCTATATGAAAGTAAATTTAGCAGTACTTATTAAAATAGAAAATATACTGACTTTTGACTATAATTCCATTTCTAAAAATTTATCCCAGTGATATATTCACACATGTCCAAAAATGGTATGTGTACAAAGATATTTAAGTGTTCTTCCTAATAGCAAAAAATTAGAATTAACTTACCCCCAAAATATGGTACTTGTTAAAGAAATTACAGAACATTCCTAAAAAGGAATATTATGCAGTCATTAAAATGAAGAGGCAGCTATATTAATGAGTGTGAAAATTATCTCCTATAAAGTAAACTTCAGGACACATTTGTGTTTTTTGTTTAGACATACATTCGAGCATGTATGTGCATACACATACACAAATATACAGACACAAAATATTTGATATATATACATATCTATTGATATTTGATATACATACATACATAGATATACATATCTATTCTTGTATACAGGATTTTCTGGTGGACTCTACAATAAACTGGCATTAGTAGTTGCCTCTGACTGGGGAAAAGAGTTAGAAATTTTGTGAAAAACAGTAAGAAATTTTGTACCATTTATTACTTATTAAATAAAGATTACAAATTGACTTTGAAAAGTACTTTTAAAATTGAATCATCAAAATATGTAAAACTGCTCACCTGTTTTAAATATAACCTAAAATATAACCTTGATCTATCAGGGAATTTTTTTTATTATTTCCTGTAAATAAAGGGAGCAAATTACCCCTTTGATATTAACAGAAAATCTAAACTAAGATTGAAAAGATAACTTATATGTCAAGAAACATAATTTCTAATTTGTGACAACATCCCACCTGAAAGACTATGATATGCACACAGTAGAAATTCAATAAATATTTACTGAACGAATACCTTTCTATTGATTTCAGTGGGTTTGTGTTCCTCATATTTTTCCAAGTACCACACCAAAACAACAAAAAACAGGCAAACAAAAAAGCCTCACTGGAAAATAGACACATGTATGTTATGCTTTTCTTTTTTAAAAAAATCATTCTCCATTTACCCAACAAAAATGGTAAGGTACCTTATTAACATTACCACAAGATAAATCGACATTTACTGGGTAACTACTATGCTCAGGTGTTAAGAATACTGCAAAACACAAACTCCAAAGAAGAGTACATTTTTATACTTGCCCTCAAGAAGCTTACAGTCCTGAAAGACAAGGCTCAAAATTAACATTAATCAGTAAAAGGGCATTATAGAATTTACTGATAGAGTTATCCCAACTAAAAATTTTAAAGGAATTCATATAAGGATAAACAAAAGTAGTTATTGATCTATTTAAGGATCTTTAGTATATAAAAATGCTTCCAAAATTCTAGTCTTACTCATGTAAAATGGTGTTCGATGGTGATAGGTTCAGCTGGACTTGGAAAAAATTGTTAACAATTAAATATAGTTTTTTAATTGGTCCACTCCTAAGACAAGATATTACTATAGTGGTCTCAATCTGTTTTATCATCACTCACTGGTCTTATTGAAAATATCTCAGGCATGAACCTAATACAGATAGGTTACAAATAATTTGTAATAAATTTGTAAATTTATTTGTAAATTATACATATCTTAACATTGTCAACCTATATAAAGTATCAGTAAAGCTTAATTTCTTTCTTTTTCAAATGAAAATAGAAATGTAAATGTTTTCACATTTTTCCTATACTCCAATATATCATCTTGTAATGCACACCCACTTTGTACAAATACTTAACATGAATATTGATCACGCAAAAATATTTTCATCCAAGTTTCAATTTTTCACACATCAAACTCTTTTTGTAACCTGGTTGTTAAAAGACAGCAGATATGAATTTGAATTCAAGTTTATTTCTTTTTGGCCATGACCTTTCAGAACAGATGTTAACATGCAACTAAACAGACATCATTAAAGAGAAACAAAGGACAGTATAGTCATAACCAGATATTTGTCCCTTAAAAGTTAATGGGAAATAGTAACCACTGAAGAATATTAGTGTTTTTTATATATAGCATGTGAAACTTAATATCCAATAGTGATATTACTCAATAAATTGTCAAATTCTTGAAAATGCTTCCTCTCACTATAAGCCTATTGTTTTCCTCATATTCATTGCTTATTATTTTATTACAAAAGACAAAATCACTTTCAAAGAACATTTACAATTAAATTTTCAAATATTACATCTTAACCTCCAACTAACTTATTGTTAAAATGAAAACAAAAATAATTTTGAAACGATATAGGCCGTTTTGAGCCAAGACCCTTTCCAAGACTAAGTTAGGAAGAAATGCAAATATATATATTTAAAACAAATATGAATAGATTTTTCAACAATGTAAATTCATAGACTGTTTATGCTTAGAGAATGTTTGTTTCTACCTCAATTGTAAACATATAAATGCACAAACATTATATGTATTTGCATAGTATATAGGTTTACATAAAAGTGTAATTTATTGACATGTACCCACCTGAATAACCAATCCTTTCACAACATTTTTCTAGTATATTGTTCATTCTGAGTAATTCTCCAGTCAGTACTCAAAAGTTCATTAATTTCTATATATTAGAATAAACAGATTTGAAACTACAGTGAATTTGCCAATAAATACTATTATTTAGCATACTATAAAGAAATTTTTTAAATTCTGCACTTAAACAGTGGGCCAAATAAGTAAAACAATGTTTTACTTGAGCATCACTTTGGCAACACTAATTTTATAACAATATAGTAAAAGTATAGGTTAATATATCTAAATATCAGACTCTAAGTCATCAAAAGCTTGGTATTGTCAGTATATATAGTCAAGTTAGGAGTACGCTCAAAAGCGTCTAAAAATAATGCTCTGTTCTTCTATTGGTTGAAATAAGCTATTTAAATCTCTTAATCTTTTTTTTTTTTTTCACTTCCAAGCCTACTAATAAGTCACAGTCCCAGAAAGGACTTAAGCCCAGAAATTATCTTTGAAGAAGCAATTCTTTATTTCAGTTAATTAAAGTCAGAAATACATTTGCTCTCTAATCCTTCCATACTTTTGATAAGTAGTATTTTCTTAAACCTGTACAAATATTTGATACTTTTATCATAAGTTATTTAAAGTAATACATTTGTTAAAGTATGGAAAGATACGAATTGACAGAGAATTATTTCCTTGTTAAGTGTATTAAAGAATACTCAACCCAACAACCTGTTTTTAAATTTTACATGATTAGAGGCTGGTATGTTAGTTTCTACAGAGAAGAACTCTACACTTTCAATTGTGTGTTTCTGTGGAGAATATGGGAAAATATATTTAATAACACAAAGGAACCGTCCCACTTTGGCATATAAACTGCACGAGTTAATCTCTTAGTGAATAATTCAAGTAAGAAGAAAAGAGGTGAGTTGGAAACACATAAAAAGGTTACACATCCTCTGCACAATCTCTTTCACACAGTAAAGGAGGAAACAAATCACCGTCAAACACTTCCGAGAAACTACCAAGAAAAGCATCTCCACGCAGCAGCCACGAGTCTGGACAGTTCCCTAGTGCTGAAGTTACGCCGCGCTAAACCGCCGTCCGGCTGCTGCCTCCACTCCCACCCTCGGCCACATCCCGGCAGCCCAGACCGTGAGCACGAACGGAACTTCGCAAGGTAGGGAAGACTCCCCGACCGCAGCAGCGGTAGGAACTGGGGGCTCTTCGGGATTAAACAGATTTACTAGTTGCAAACAGGAAGAGCAGCAGAGTGCAGGGGGTTAGAACCCGCCGAGGGGGAGGGGCTGGAAGATGGCGGCGGTCGCACACCCACCCGAGACACAGCGGAGCACAGGCCCCTCGCCCGCACCGCTGTCCTCCTGCCCGAGGCGGCCGTGGGCAGCTCTGCTCTTCTCAGCGCTGGGGGCAGAGCTGCCCCGCGGAAGCGCCGGACGTGCGGCCCTCGGCGGCACCCGCGTCCCCGGCCGGCGCGCCTACGCCCGGGTCCGGACCGGGAGCACCTGTGCACGGCCATATTGGATGCGCTGCCCCAGTCACTGCCTCCGCGCAGGGGCGGCGGCAAAGAAGGCACGCGCGGAGCCGGGGCTCAGCCCTTGCCCCGGCGGGGCCCCGGGAGCCGAACTTGCCCGCGGGGACATCACCAAGGACGCTCGGGAACATTACAACGCCCAAAGACTCGCCAGTCTCGCTCCAGCCGGTCTCGCGCCCTCCCTTCCCGACACACACCCCCGTGCTGACACCCAGAAAGCAGCCCCGGCGACCGGCGCCGGCCGCAGCCCTCGTGGCCCAGGCGCCGCCGGCGGGAGGGAGGGCGGCGATCCGGGGCGCGCAGGCGGCCGCAGGGCAGCCGCCGAGGGGGCGGAGGGCAGGGAGGGAGGCGGGAAGATGGAGCTGCGTCCTTACTTGAGCACCGACTGCTCCTTCTCCTCTTCTTTCTTCTGCCGATCCATGACAGCCAGGATGATTTTCCTCTCCTCCTCCGTGAGGTGGCTGAGGTCCGGCATCTCCGGCTGCAGAGGCGGCTGAGAGGCCGCCGGGGTGGGAGCCGGGCGGCCCCGCGGCCCGACCGGAGCCGACATGTTTGGTGGAGCCTAACCACTCCGGGGAAGCTGGGAGGCAACTCCACTGGCGGCGGCGGCGGCGGCACCCGCTCGGGCGGCTGGGGCAGCCTCCGGCGCCGGGACAAATACATACAAATCAATGGCCTTCAATCCCAGGCGACAGCCCCCCTCCCCCAAGAAAGAAGGAGCGGGGGGAGGGGAGGGCGAGCGCCGTGGGGGGAGGGCAGGCTGAGGAGTGCGCTCCGGGAAATGTTCCCTCAGCCTCCGGGGGCGAAGGGCTGGCAAGTGAGCGGTTCGGGTTGAGAGAAGAGCGTGAGGCCCGGCCGGGACGTGGTGTGCGCGGAGCGGCGGGGGCGGGTGGTGGAGTAAGGTGGCGGGGACGACTAAGGGTGGGGTGACTGGAGGCGGCGGGCGCGAGGGCGGCGCGCGGGCCAGGGCGCCGCGCGGGCCAGGGCGCGAGTGTGTCCGGCCGCGGCGGGGGCGAGGGGCGCGCGCGCCACCTCGGAGGGATCGGGGGTAGCCGCGGGCCAGCTCCCCGAGGGAGTCCCGGCAACTCGCTCAGGAGTCGGCAGGCAGCGTCCCGCGAGTCGGGGCGGGGAGGGGGGGAGCCGCTGATGGAGAAGGCAGCGGGGGTAATCTCCCCGAGAAGCTGCCCGGTCGTTCCGACGGCTGACGCGTCACCGGGCTCCCGGGCGCCGCGGAAGAAGGACCCCTCCAGAAACCTCAGGGAGATGGCCGCGGGGCCGGAGACCCCTCCGGGCTAGAGCGGGGAAGCGGAAGCGGAGAAGGGATAACCGGGGCTGGCGGTGGAGCGTGCCGGGGCCCCTCGGCTGCCAACGCCCGGATCCTGGCGAGCTCCGACTCGTCGCAGGGTCGGGCTCCTATCCTCCCTCATTACGGGTTCGGGGTCCCTCAGCCGTCGTCACCCCTTAGGTCCCCGGAGTCAGCGCCTAGGGCCCGCTCGCTGCCGCCGCCGCCGCCCGCACCTCCTCCTCCAGCTTCCCGGGCTCCTCCCGCGGGGGCCGCGTCACCTCCCGGCAGCCCAGGCACAGGCACCTCGCTGTGGCCACCCTTGCGGAGGGCGATCTGTGCGCCGGGGCCCGACGAGGCGAAGAGGCAGGCTAAGGGCGGGGGGGATGGAGATCGCGGGAGGCGCGCCTGTGAGCCGGGTGGACGGGGCACCCTGTGGGTCAAGTCCGGAGGCGAAGGAGTGGGGAGTGGAGTGGGGGGAGTATCGGATCCAGAGATGGGGTGTGTCCGGGGGGAGGGACGCCCGTAGTTCGGGGAAGGTGGGAACCGAAGGGGAGGGTGGCGTCCGAGTGTTGGACGGCGTGGGGTTCCTGAGGCCGTGGGCGAGGTCCTGGAGGGAGGGAGTGCGTAGGCCCTGGGATGTCAGCTTTGGGGGGTGCAAGGGGTCGCTTTAGTGGAGGGGAAGGGGGGGTTGAGCGAGTGGGAAGCTCAGGACCCGAGGCCCGGCGGGAGGGGCGAGGTGCGGTGAGGAAGTTCTGGAAAACTGAGGGTTGCTGGCAGAAATACATGCCCGGATCCTCCGGAGGCTGAGTGTGAGCGGCGAGGGGCCAAGGGCTTCGATCTCCGGGTATTTAGCCTTGTTTGGTGGTCCCTGTCCAGGAATAGGAGGCGAAGAAGCTAGGGGGTTGGGCTGGAGTCGAGTGGGAGTCTGGAGATGGGTTCGGTGAGAGAGGCGGAGGGTGGCCTGGGAACCAGCTTTATTCCAGGGAGGCGAGTGGGGTCGGGTCGGCCACCCTCCCGGTGCGGGCGGGGCAGGGACGGGCTGGGATGGACCTGGCTGGGGGTGGGTGTCCGGGGCTCACCCCCACTTCTGGGTGCTCTCGGCCAGCGCAGTGGAGGACAGAGTGGGTGGGGGAAGGTGCCCTTACATGAACACACCCCTACTCCGCCTTCCACACTCGCCAGTTGAATAGCGGACCAGGTTATGGCCTGATGACTAGTGCGTGAAGCCTTTGGAGTTTGCATTACATTTACGCAACTCCGTCCCTCCTTCCTGTGTCCCCTGGTACCATCTGACTAGCTCCCAGTTTAAGGGAGCTGGGGACAGACAAAGCAGCCCTAGAAGTCTCTTGGGATCTCTAAGCTTACATTTCTTTTCTCACAAGCCTTGTAATTGGGAAGAGGGAAGCAAGTTTATGTTTATTTTATTTTTTATTACTCACCTGATTCAAACCAAAGTCTCATACTCTAAATAATTCAGTTTTCGTGACTTTGGAGCTGAGTAAACTAGATATCATACGCTTTATAAATAAACTAAGTCTCATTTTATTTCATTTTGTTTTTAGAGTTAGAGAATTTTTGTAACTCTCTAATCTAACCTCTTCCACCTATGGGAAATTGGGTACTAAGATCAGCCAGCTAGTAACTGGCAGTACTGCAACTAGAAGCTGGGTATTTTTACTCCAGTTTGAAACCATCGTGGTTTTCAACCCTAGCTGGACATTAAAATTACCTGAGTCGTTCTTTATAAATACCACCTGGATCCGACCCTAGACCTGGGGTGAGGACCCTTGTCATGGGTATATTTCTTTAATTTTCCAAGTGAATAATGTATAGTGAAGGTTAAAAACTACAATGAGTACATTGCAATATAAGTAATGGAGGAGAAACTGGGCAGCGGAAAACAAGCAAAAAGAACACTTGTAGGGAGGCTGAACTTTTTTTTAATCTAAAATTGAAACACTGAGTTCTCTAATAATCACACTTTCTCCTCACATGCAGCAACAAGTACCAGTAAGTGCACACACTTCCGACTTTAGGCAAGGAAACCTTTTGTGCCACTAAAATAGCTAAGAGCTCCTTTAAAGGGGAGGAGAGGAGAACTAAAAATAACCAAAAGAGATGGGTGGAATATTCTACCTTATTCAACTATTTCTGAGTGAGATTTAAAGAAGTAACACCACCTCCAGCCAACTATCAACCCAAGCAGAAGCAGAAGCTAGAATACACATACAACTCTGAGGTTAAAATGGTGTGGTTATTTTGAGTACATAAAATGTGAACTTAAAAGTAGTTGTGCAAACTGGGCAATTTTGGCTTCCTTTACAGTTGAGAGTCATATCCTGGGCCCTGCACTGTTTTCTGCCAGTCACATAGCATGCTGGTTCCCTGCAGCTGTGTCTGCCTGCACCCCCACTGGCTCTCACTAGCCTGGGCACAGTGCCAGCTTATGAAATACAGTGTGCATGAGCAGCTATCCCTGGGACACCTCCCTTACAGGACTGAAGCAGAAGCGAGTGAGCTTGCTGCTACTCTGCATTTGCTTTTCATATTTCTTAACTATAACTATTTGTGTCTTTCCTACTAAAGGGAATCCTTAAGAGTGAAAATATCTTAATCATCTTCCACCCTGATTAATACACCTTTTCAAAATAAAAATTTATATATCATATAGATAGAATATCACATAGAATTTGAAGTGGACTACTTTTCAAAGTTATGGGCCCAGTTTAATATAAGATTGCTATGCTCAGAACTAAAGAAAGTAAAATAACCTTCAGAACATCTATTGTTAGATCTTACCACAATGTGGACCATAGAGATGTTTTGTTCTGATATACTCTTACCTAAACTGTTTGTCACATCTCACTGTGTCCTGTAGGGCATTATGTTTTACTTGGGCATATCCATCAAATGTATGAACACATATGAAGTTAAAACTGTGTTGTTCTGCCCTGGCTGGTGTAGCTCAGTGGATTGAGCGCGGGCCTGGGAACCAAGCAACCACAGTTCGATTCCCAGTCAGGGCACATGCCTGGGTTGCAGGCCAGTTCTCTCCCTCTCTCCCTTTCCCCTCTAAAAATAAATAAATAAAATCTTTAAAAAAAAAAAACTGTGTTGTTCTTATTTAACTTTGTAAGTAATGGGCTATCTTCACTGACTTCTCAAGGTCTTAATGTGCCACAGACTAATTCCAAAATGCAAGTCCTTTTTCAGTTCTTATAGGTACACAAGCTTCTGAAGCCTGTGAGTCTGTGGACTTTCATTTGTTCACGTGTAAGGGCTCCTTACTAGTAATCGTCAAAGGAGGCATATCTAAACTAAAATAGTCACATCACTAAACTTTACTGAGTGCTCAAGTATTCTTGCTTAGATATCTGGCTACGTCACAATGCTTGGAATCATTACAACTCTTCTACACACAAATAAATATACATAAATGGTTGGCATTTCTATGGTTTTTCCTAACACATCTCTCTGCTTCTTTCCTTGCAGCTGTGTATTCCTTTTCCCAATACAGCATAAAGAGCAAGCTTCCAGAAACATTGTGACCACTCCACTGGTCACAACCCTGTGGTGGCCCTAACTGGTGTGGCTCAGTGGATTGGACATCATACTGCAAACCAAGACCAAAAGGTCTCTCGGTGAAGTCTCAGTTGTCACACACCAGTTGGGTGTGAGAGAAGCAACCGATTGCTGTCTCTCTTACACATCAATGTTTCTCTTCCTCTCTTTCTCCTTCCCTTCCCCTCTCTCTAAAAATAAATAAATACAGTCTTTAAAAAAAAAAAAACTTGGGTCCTGGCTGGTATAGCTCAGTGGATTGAGCGCAGGACTGCGGACCACACGATCGCGGTTTGATTCCCAGTCAGGGCACATGCCTGGGTTGCAGACCAGTTCCCGGTAGGGGACTCACAAGAGGCAACCACACATTGATGTTTCTCTCCTTCTCTCCTTCCCTTCCTCTCTAAAGATAAATAAATAAAATCTTAAAAAAAAAAACTTGGAGCATTTTTGACTTAAAATAAATCTCCATTTTTCTCAGAGCTAAACCCCTTAAATGACTTCTAAGTCCTGCATGAGCTCTCTGACCTCATCTACTTCTTTCTTTTAGGCTTTCCTCTGTCACCACTGCCTATAACACTCTTCAATAAGATACTCACTTGCTTCACTTGTCAAATTTGTGCTCAGTTATCCATCCTATTTAATACTCCAGCCTGCCCCACCTACTTTCTGTTCAATCTAATCTCATTTACTTTGCCCAGCCTCCTTTTTTCCCCATAGCACTTACCACTTTCTATGTTAACATTAGCTATCGGCTGCCCCCTACCAGAGTATAAGCAGATAGAGCACTATGTACCTACTGTATCCCAAGCACCTAAAACTACATGGCACATAATAGGTGTTCCAACAAACACTTAATGAGTGAATTTCTGGGGAGAAGATTTGTCATCATTATTGGTTTCAGTTGGGCAGGAGAAAGAAAAATCTTATTCAAAAGACAGAAATGGGTACAGAGAAATAAGATGTAAAATCTGTCAGGGAATATAGATTCATTTAGAATTAAGCTCTTGCCTACCTCTAGCCTTATCTCCAGCCCAGTCTACCAACACATCATCC